AGTCTTCCCGGTGGCATCTTGAAGTGTCTTCCAGCTAAAAAATTCATGAGCATTATTGGCTTTCAGTCAGAAAATGGAATATGTCTTCAAGTCACTGTCTGATACACCACTTTAAGGCCATTATACAAAAGTAAATCTGAGAGCAGCACATATTTGAAAGGAAGGAATTTTTAGCTTAAACATTTGTTTATACACTATTAATACTGTTCCAGGGAGTAAGAAAGAGCCTAGGAGAAGGTAGGTGCTTTAGCTCTTTTACTCAGAGCAGAGTGGTTGTAGTTGTGGGATATGTCATTGTCTTTAATCCCCTACCCACCTGTAGACTGTTAGTGAGGTAGTACTGAAAAATCAGATTCTAATAATAGTGGTGTGTGTTTGGCTTATTGCATCTAATTGGGGGGGGGAAAGTCAAGTATATAGTAGGTAGCTCAAAAGTTGTGAAATTAAACTGAGGTTTCCAAATAAGATGCCTTTTATTCCATATTTACTTGAAGCAAGTCTCTTAAAACTTTGCAAGCACTGTCACTCTTTGAACCAATGTGCAATTTTATGAGTCTGAATCTGGAAATATAGACTGTAATATCTGAGGTAAATTAAAATTTTATTGTGTGAAAAACACGAAGCAGTCTAGTGTTCTGTAAATATGAAGTTAAAAGTGTTGTGATCTAGTAAAAAGTAATAATACTTGGAAATAATATAGTGGGGTGTGTTTTTTTTTTAGCTAAAACTTATTTTTGGAATATTATATAGCCTCTCCTATCGCTGTGTGAAATGGGTCCCTTGTTTTGCCAGTGGGAAGGAAATGTTTGATTTTTCTGTGTGCTCTCATCCCTGAATGGAGTAAAATCCTTCTAGACCTGCTTATGTTGTATTTGCACGTGGTACTTTTTGGTTTGCTTGTTCGTAAGAATCAACAATATATTATTGTACATTCTGCATATTTGCTGCAGAGACTATTTAACTTTTGTCAAAAGTTGGGGTCTTGCAAAAATAACATTCGCTTTGGGTAATTTTGCCTAGTTGACAGTGTTTGGAAAGAGGCATTTCCCTCCTCTGTCAATTTGATGTCTCTACTGCTGTATTGTATTACCGACTTTCAAGGTTGGCTCACTCTGTTTTCTACCTTTTTCAGGCATCTAATCCTGAAAAACACATTTTGTATATTTAAGCATTAGATACCGCTGTGTTTTCATATACTTATCAGGGTCTTGCCCAGAAATTTTGCTTTTGTAACAGGGATCCCTTCTGCAACACAGTATACCTTGAGGGAGGAACTGTTTCAAGGTTAGAATGAACGAATGTTTGAGCCCCTGATAAAGAAATAGTGACTGCATCTTTAACTGTGGTCTGCTGAGCTATAGAGGGTTCTGAGTGTCCTTTCACAATGAATTTAACAGAATAGAAATGGAAAAGTGTCTAAGTGAAGATTTATGTATGCTTTTCATGTTACTTGAGCATTTATTAATCATCTTACAAAGTTTCTGAAGGATCAGACTGCAGATGCCACCACAATGCCATGTATTGTCTCTTGTAAAGAGAGGGCAGGAAAAACCTGGAAGGCCTTGGGAGCTCTCGAAGCCTTCCTGGCCTCATAGGAAGAACTAGCAGCTTTATCAGGCAGCTCCTCCTCTGGCAGGTGTTGATAGAAGTTGTGTCAACAGCTCCTTGTATGTCATTTCATTATAAATTTCATCTCAAAGTGAGCAATTAATTTCAGAGAGGGCCTAACTTCGTAAAAGTATTTCTTGGAACTAGCAATAGAGATCGGATGTTTGACCGCTTATTATGTTTGCATTTCAGCAACAGCATTATCCTTATTTATTCTTTTACTAAATTTGTTCAGCGTATGAGAAGTCTGACAGTTTTATAGGCCTCGAGTGGAAGATGGCCAGCCCTGATGAGAGATAATATGCACATTATCGTTTACATCAATTCCGGAGGATTAACCAGTTTTAATGGTATGAGGCTATGTTGTGAGCAGCAACATTGATGAGTCCATGCAAGAAGAGTACATTTTTTCAATTGCATTGAGGTTTAACATTTTATTTTCCTTTTCTGTCATTATACTAAGGCTTTAACTGGCATTGTTCACCCCCTGTCCCCCAGAATATTGTTAGTTTTAAAAAACTGTTATTCTTGTGCTGAAACTCTTTAAGGTCTGGTTCGTACAAGTTGCTATCAGAGGATGGCAGGGAGGCTGTGCTGTCCCAGTGAAAGCAGGACCATTGTCTTGTTGTAGATAGCAAACAAGAAGGGACAAATTAAGTTGAAACTTCTTTTCCAGTCTTGTCCTTTCACAACCCCCAGCATCTGGGAGAAACTGTTCTCAGTGCCTCTGATTACCATCAGTTACAACCCAAGAGTTAACTTGTGTCGTTTTCAGTTTTTGTGATTTACGTTGAACAGTTCCAGAATTGAGAATGAAACACTCAAGAATATTAATTTCCTGTGAATGTTGAAAACAGGCAGAAATTTTAAGAAACCCTTAGTTTAGGCCTGCTTATAAAATGAAATTTCTAAACCTTCATTGCCCCCCTTCCGTATTTCTTATCTCCTACCTTTCTGTTGGAAATTATTTCACTTTGATCTACAAAAATGCATTAAAATCCACCAATCCATACAGTTTCTTTTATTTTAGATGATTTTTCCATGTGTATGTGCACACTAAAAGTCAGAGATCTCTCTACCTGTCATTAGATCTATCTAATCTGTCATTCTGTTGTCTATTTCTGCTTTTTGTATGTGTCACTTGAGTGGGGGGAAATTAACTCACCTAGCCCCCAACCACGCAGTTCTGGTATGAAATCCTAACATTACTGCCAGCCAAGCTCACATGGGGCATGAAGAATATCCATAGAGTCATCTAGATCGGAGCCCACAGTTCTGTTTAAGCTCTTCATTAATGGGGTTCACTGTTATTTATTTGGTTCATCCACTAAAGAGCAGGGCATAAATTCTGCTCCAGGATTATATCTGCTTCTGGCCACCTGTCACCACTTGCTCCCCCTCCTTTCCCTGCTCTAACCGAAAATTCACTTCCTTTTTATTTTACCTGAGAGTCTGTGGCTTTTTCACCTTGGGTGAGGAGCAGTGATTCAGGGGCATCCCCAGCCTGGTGGCCATGGCTGGCAAGGTGCATTGGCCTGTCCTTAGGCAATTACTACAGACTCCCCCCCCCCCCTTTT